AAATTTTATTTATTAACATATAGTTTTACTATTTAATAAAAAATTCATAACTTAAAACATGTACGCTCACGTGCAAAACACGTGCATTATATTGGTTTAAATAAATAATCTTTTAAATAGAGGTTCATTTTTTAGGGAAAATTGTGTCAATGCCCCAATAACAATGACCTTATGTGATCCAGTCCCTCCACCTTTTTCTCATGTGTTTCAGCCCCAAAGAATATCACTTCATGTGATTCAGCCATTTATTCCATACCAACTAAGCACAAAGAGAGAAACAAATAGAAAAGCCAAAAGTACCCTCATTTCTTCCTCTCTCTTCCCTCCAGATCTAAATTTGCTCCCATGCATTCTTCCTCTCCTCTCCTCCTCTTTCCTAACCCATTTCCTTCCTCCTCTCTCTCTTCCTCCTTTTTTTCTTAGACATCGACAACCCCCTCCACCACCGCCAACCATTTCGGGCAATATTGTTTGCTCCTTTTCTCTCACTAATTTTCTCTACTCTCTCTCTAAAAAAAACCCTCAAATTCATCAGAGTTCTAGTCGGAGGATCTGTCAAACAACAGATCAGTCTCCAACACTGAAGGCGAAGAGGTTGCGAAGAACAAGGCGGAGGAGGTGGTGACAGAGAAGGACGAGGAGGACCTCGAGGCCGTCGCAAATTCAAGACCTCTAAGCTATCGGTTTTTTTGTGACAATTTTTAATATTAAGTTCAAGTCCAAGATGAAATATTAAATGTAATGAGTTAGAAATGAAGTCCAAGGGCTTGTATGTTAAGTATATTGGGTTGAATAATAAATCCATTGACTTGTATGTTAAGTCTCATTTTGTTGAATAATAAATCTAATTTGTTGAATACTAAGTAATGGATTATATGTTAAGTCTAGTTTGGTACGTGTTAAGTTCAGTTTGGTTAGCGTTAAGTCTAGTTTAGTTCGTGTTAAATGCAGTTTGGTTCATATTAAGTCCAGTTTGGTTCGTATTAAGTCCAATTTGGTTCATGTTAAGTCTAATTTGGTTAATGTTAGGTCTAATTTGGTTCACGTTAAGTCCAATTTGATTCTTCTTAAGTCTAATTTAAATCATGTTAAGTCTAATTCAACTTGTTTTAAGTCTAATTTCATATTAAATCTAATTTGATTCATGTTAAGTCAAATTTAAATCATGTTAAATCTAATTCAACTTGTTTTAGGTCTAATTTTATGTTAAATCTAATTTAAATTGTGTTAAGTCTAATCTAATTCCTGTTAAATCTAATTTAAATCATTTTAAGTCTAATCTAATTCCTGTTATGTCTAATTCAACTTGTTTTAAGCCTAATTTTATGTCAAGTCCAATTTGATTTATGTTAAGTCCAATTTAATTTCATTTTAAGTCAAATCTATTTTATGTTAAGTCTAATTTAACTTGTTTTTAGATTTAAAACAAGATGAATTAGACTTAAGATGAACTAAATTAGTCTTAACGTGAATAAAATTGGACTTAACATGAACCAAAATGGACTTAACATGAACCAACTAGACTTAAAATAAATCAAACTGAACTTAACACGTAACACGAACCAAATTAGACTTAACACATACCAAACTGGACTTAACATGAACCAAACTAACTTGGTACGTGTTAAGTCCAATTTGGTTCGTGTTAAGTCCAATTTGGTTCACGTTAAGTCCAATTTGGTTCATGTTAAGTCTAATTTAATTCTTGTTGAGTCTAATTTAAATTATGTTAAGTCTAATTCAACTTGTTTTAAGTCTAATTTTATATTAAGTCCAATTTCATTTATGTTAAGTCTAATTTAATTTCTGTTAAGTCAAATTTAAATCATGTTAAGTCCAATTCAACTTGTTTTAGGCCTAATTTCATGTTAAGTCTAATTTAAAGCATGTTAAGTCTAATATAATTCTTGTTAAGTCTAATTTAAATCATGTTAACTCTAATCCAACTTGTTTTAAGACTAATTATATGTTAAGTCCAATTTAATTCATGTTAATTCTAATTTAATTTTATGTTAAATCCAATCTAATTCATGTTAAGTCTGAATTAGACTTAACATGAACCAAATTGGACTTAACATGAACCAAAATGGACTTAGTATGAGCCAAATTGGACTAAACACGTACCAAACCAGTTTAGTTCATATTAAGTCTAGTTTGATTCGTGTTAAGTCTAGTTTGGTTTGTGTTAAGTCCAATTTGGTTGCTGTTAAGTCCAGTTTGGTTTACATTAAGTCCATTTTGGTTCACGTTGAGTCTAATTTGGTTCATGTTAAGCCCATTTTAGTTCATTTTAAGTCCAATTTGGTTCACGTTAAGTCCAATTTGGTTCATATTAAGTCTAATTTGGTTCTTGTTAATCTAATTTGATTCTTGTTAAGTTTAATTTAAATCATGTTAAGTCTAGTTCAACTAGTTTTAAGTCTAATTTCATATTAAGACCAATTTGATTTGTTAAGTCTAATTCAACTTGTTTTAAGTCTAATTTCATATTAAGTCCAATTTGATTCATGTTAAGTCTAATTCAACTTGTTTTTAGATTTAAAACAAGTTTAATTAGACTTAACATAAACTAAATTGGACTTAATAAGAACCAAATTAGACTTAACGTGAACCAAACTGGACTTAACATATAATCTATTACTTAATATTCAACAAATTAGACTTATTATTCAACCTAATAAACTTAACATACAAGTCAATAGACTAATTATTCAACCTAATAGACTTAACATACAAGCCTTTGGACTTCTCTTCTAGCTTATTAGACTTAATACTCCATCTTGGACTTGAACTTAATATCAAAAATTGTCAAAAAAAAAAAAAATCGATAGCTTAAAGGTCTTGAATTTGCAACGGCCTTGAGCTCCTCCTCGTCCTCCTCCGCCACTGCCTCCTCCGCCTTGTTCTTTGCCACCTCTTCGCCTTCAGCGTTGGAGACCGATTTGTTGTTTGACTGATCCTCCGACTAGAACTTCGACGAATTTGAGGGTTTTTTTAGTTTTGGGGTGAAAATAAAGAGAGAGCGGGAAAATTTAGTTGGATAAAAGGAATGAAACAACATGGCCGGAATGGTCAGCGGTGGCGGAGGGGGATGTCGGTGTCTGAGAGAAAAATGAGGAAAAGAGAGAGGATGAAGGAAATGTGTTAGGAAAGAGGAGGAGAGGAGAGGAGGAAGGAGGAGCAGATTTAGACCTCGAGAAAAGAGAGAGGAAGAAATGAGGGTATTTTCAGTTTTTCTATTTGTTTATTTCTCTTTGTGCTTACTTGGCATGGAATAAATGGCTGAATTATATAAAATGTCATTTTTTGGGATTGATCCACATGGGGAAAATGTGGAGGGGCTGGGTCACATGAGGTTATTGTTATTAGGGCATTGACACAATTTTCCCTTTTTTTAACGATACTTTCAGGTCCAAGAATATAAAAGAGCTGGTTTTACCCAATGCGATGGATATGACTAATAAAATTGTTGTATCAATTATATTGAGTAGTTTGATTGTTGTATATTGCTTTCACTTTGAAGTTATGTTATAAACTAGAAGTATCACTAATAAACAATTTAAAAGTTTTTAAAATTGGAACCTTATTGCCAGCAATAAGCGGGTCATTAAAAAAATCAGTAAATCTATAGGATATGTTAAGGGCCTGTTTGTTTCGTTTCCCCCACATTCCAAAACCCACTTTCCTTCATTTTTTCACTTTCCCCCGGCCTGTTTGTTTCGTTTCCCCCACATTCCAAAACCCACTTTCCTTCATTTTTTCACTTTCCCCCACTTTCCAAAACCCACTTTTCTTCACTTTCTCCACTTTCCTCCAATAATATTGTGACAACTCATCCCACCACATCTCATCTCATACTTTTAAAAATAAACAAAACACAAGAAATGAGTCACATCAATCAACTCATCTAACTCACTTTCCCCCACTTTTCTTCATTTTCTATCATCTTTAAAAATTACTCACATCATCCAATAATATGGTGACAACTCATCACATCTCATTAAAATTTCCTTCCATCACTTTCCTCCAAAAAAACAAGGATTGCGGAGGAAAACTCATCTCATCTCATCATCCAATAATATGGTGACAACTCATCTCATCTCATCTCATCTCATCTTTTTTCCCCAACTTTTAAGAATGAACCAAACACAAGAAAAAAAAATCTAAACAAGGAAAGTGGAGGAAAACATCAAAAATTACTCACATCAACCAATAATATAGTGACAGCTCATACTTTCCCCCACTTTCTTTTATAGCTTTGACGAACCAAACCTCTGAAAGTGGAGGAAAACATCAAAAATTATTTTCTTTTCCCCCATTTTCCCCCACTTTCTGTATTTTTTGGCGAAACAAACAGGCCCTAAGAGAAACTTCTCTTTTTAATTTGCGTGAGTCATAATTTTATAATATCAAAATTTCACTCACACTTAAAAAACAAAGAAAATTCTCTCACACTTAAAAAATTCGATTTTTTTTTTCTAGCAAACCGTTCACTCCCTTTGAGAGTTCAACTACGACACTCTTCTACGTTTTGTGTCATGCACACATAATATGTATTAGGATACTAGTAGTTAATTTAAGAAAGCCAAATGACAAGCAACCTTTTGTTTTAGCATAAAGTATAGACGGATAGATAAATAGTTAGATATTTATTTAGATATATTTTCACTCATTTTATTTTATTGCATTACATGCCTCGAAATTATCTCCACAAATTTTTTCAGAAGGGAAATAAAGTTATTCAATAATTTTTTAGATCATAAATTTGAACAACCTCGCAACGATTTTGTTTCCTAACTCAACAATAATTTTGTTATATTTTACTCTTAATATTTTTCAGTCAAAAAATTTCAGGAGTTATTGTTCGGCCTCCAAAAAAGTTGCGGCCCAAGACTCTATAAAATGTTACAGTTAGCACCCGAGAGAAGAAATATAAATAACAAAAGTATAGGGTCTAAATACAAAGTTCCATTAAAAATCTCACCGTCAAGCCCTGTGTGAGCTTTAACTCTCTACTCGCAGGAAAAGCCGAACCCCTCCCTCAAAGCCCAGCGCTCGCTAACGTGCGCCCCGCCGTCATCCCTTTATCTCCTCTCCTGTAGAAACCCTAGATTCTCGCGGAGCCCTAGGGATAAGTACAGCGATCGAGGCTTATCCCTTTGACATCGCAGCGATGGAGGAGGAATCGAGAGTCGCCGCCGTCCCCGTCCCGGTCGTCGACGGAGATGAAGACTGGAGCGAGAAGGCGGACGCTGAGGCCATGGAGGTGGAGCGATCGAACACCGCCGCCGAGGCTGCCGCCGATCACGAAACCCTAGACAACGAGCATCCTTCACAGGATCTGGCGGCGGATCCCCCTCAAGGTATGCGCTCGACTCTTAACCCTAGTTCAGTTTAGATTAGCGGCGTCACGATGATGAGATCGAGAGGATTGTTTGGATCTTTTGATTTAATGCTCCTTTTGCTTGAGATTTTTCTTTTCTGGAGTAACATAGAAGATTCGCAATTGGAGTACGCCAGGAATTATTGAGTTAGCAATAGAAAATTTTACAGTTTGATACCAAATTAACAAAGCTAAAAAGAATAAAAGAGAAAATCAGCAAGAAGATTATGGGGACAAAAATTAACTGAGTGCTTCAAGTTGATGCTTTCTTCATAACTTTAATCTTGATGGGAGCAGTGAAATTTGAGGCGAAATTGGGCAAGTCCACCTGGACCAAGCAAAATCCAGACAAAATTGATGCTAACTTTAATCTTTAGGAACTTTGTTCATAATAATGATGCTTCTAGATGCAATTATTTGTACGACTTTGTTATGCTTTTCCTGGTGTCACTTGTTTTTGCGTCATTTCAGATGGCCATGAAGAGATCCAATCAAGCCTGCAGTCAATGCATTTGGAAGAAAGAGCGTCATTTCAGATGGCCATGAAGAGATCCAATCAAGCCTGCAGTCAATGCATTTGGAAGAAAGAGGTAAAGGCATCATATGTTTCTTAAGTTGATATCCAATCAAGCCTGCAGTCAATGCATTTGGAAGAAAGAGGTAAAGGCATCATATGTTTCTTAAGTTGATTGGTGCATTGAAAAGCGTCTTCTCTTGTATAAAGATGGAAAACATAATTTTTAAAGGAATCTGGACCAACCAAACCGTATCTGCATGTTTTCCCCATTTTTATTACCGCCGACCTAGCCAGATTCAATCTTCTGCACGTTTGTCATTTCAATTTGATTTTCTTTCTTCATATAAAAGGTCATGTTTGTCTATTCAGGTAAACAAAAGGAGACAGCTGCACCTGGAGAAGTTAAAGAAGAGGAAAAGGAAGAAGACAAAAAACGACACTTGAACCTTGTTTTCATCGGTCATGTTGGTATGTCAACCTGATGCAATTCCCTTTTCCTTTTATCCTTTATAAAATTATTTAATTTTTTTCTACAGAATTTATAGGCTTGCAGTTTCAAGCAGTTGTGCTAGAAACATATATTTTTTAAATTACTGAGCTACCTTAAGCACTGTTGTCCCTTTTCTTTTGTGACATCATTTGTTCCTGAAATTGTAGACCTTGTTGTTGTCTGTTGCTATTAATATCTTTATTTGTCATATTCTTTAGGTTCTCTTGTCTTGCTTTTAGCAATTTATTATTTATTCAGCACTAACAGTTGCTTGAGATTATCCTTCATAAGACCAGTGTTTTAAATGTCGCCCGACATGTCGGATTTAGAGTCCAATCGACACGATATGGTGCTTTTCAATGCGTATTGCGTTTTAAGGGTTTATGTCAGATATATCGGGGGATATGTCGGATATGTCGGGCGGATACGTCGGGTGATATGTCGGTTATGTCGGTCGATTTTTCAATCTGAAAAATTTACTGTTTTTTTAAATTTTTTGGTTTTGTTTGTCTAATCAGGTTTGAGTTTAAATTCTTGATTGTCTTAATATTACTTTCAAAGACAAAAACAATAAGTTAAGGGAAATGGAAAAAAGATCGAAGTAGTATCCGTCTCTCATCTTCTCTCTCTCCTTCGACATCTCATCGATCTCTCCTCCGAGCTCTTCCTTCGACATCAATATCGGGCGATCTTCTATCTTCTTAACCGCTAATATCGGATTTCTAACCTCTTTCCTTCAACATCAACCCTAAGCATCATAAGTTATTTACTCTTTTATATGTTTAGACAATAGAATTTTTTAAGTCTATTTAGATTTTATTTATAATATTTATATTACACATATGCACACCATCCGATATGGCAATCTGATATTTTTTTCATGTCCTCTGACATATCCCCGATTTTCGCTATCCGACATGAATTTCAGTCGTCCGACATGAACCCGACATCCGACATTTAAAACCTTGCATAAGACTCTTCTAAGTGTTTGATTAAACTGCCTATTGATTAGCTTGATTTCAGTCTTATCTGTTTCTGTTGGCTTATCATGTGCATGAAGAATGCATATATTTAACTTAAAAACGGGTCCTGATTTCACAAATATTCTCAACTGAACTGTAGATAAACTGCTAATAAAAACATTATTTGATAACAACAAGCGTGGAAGATTAAAAGTATTCAACCTATATAAAATGGCAAAGCATTCAGTTTTTAGTTAGTTAAGTCATGAGATATTCTATGGAAGGTTTGCGAATAACTCAAATGCTGAGGAAGCGGGAAATGGTGACAACTACCTTATGCTTTGTTAGCTCAAAGAAATGATTGGAATTTTATCTATTGTAGTCCATGAAACATAAAGA